AAAGCTTCTGAAGATTTGGTTCAATCAATCCATACTTTTATGGATGGTGTTGGTTATTTTTTCATTTTGAATAAGTTTATACGTAATAATATTCCATTTATTCGCGGAAAAACAAAGAGTTTATTAAAAAATAAAGAATTTCTTTTTGATACAGTGGGTAAAATTGTCAAAAAAAGAAGAATTGAAATTGAGAATACACCATTAGATCAACCACTTCGTCCTGATTTTTTAACGTCACATATAACCACAAATACCCCACGTGATGTCAATATTATTAACCATAGTGAAAGGGTAGAAATTTTTAGACCAATGAACGATAAAGAGATTGTTGACAATATATTTGAGGCAATTACCGCAGGAACTGAATCTGTAAGTAAAATAAAATAAAATTTTAACCCTTTTTTTTAAAAAAAAAAACCTATATAAACTCATTTCTTGTTAAATTATAGGCGGCGAATTTGATTTGCTTTATCGTATATTATCTCGAACATAATCCTGAAGCAAAAAAACGATTACGGCAAGAATTCGATGAAGTTTTTGGAGATGACTTAACAAGACCTTTAACACCTAAAGATCTTGAAGAATTACAATATTGCGAAGCAGTTATTAAAGAAGTAAATCGTCATCGTCCTATAGGTTTTATTATCGGTCGCGTAAGTACTGAAAGTGATAACGTTGGAGGATACGAATTTCCAGCAGGATCTGTATTTCACATGCATTTTTCCGCAATAATGAAAAATAAAAATTATTGGACCGATCCTGAAAAATTCGATCCTGGCAGATTTTATAAAGTTGAAGAAAGTGGAGATAAATATTTACTTGAAAAGAAAAGAATGAAAAATACTTATTCTATGTTTGGAGGTGGAATTAGAATGTGTCCTGGAAGAAAATTGGCATTAACAGAATTAAAATGTTTAATAACATTAGTTTACAGAAGTTACGATTTTGATTTGGCGGATATTAATGCACCACTTAAATATGATGCTGATTTTATTTCCTCTTGTCGTGAATTAATGGTTAAGATTAAACCAAGGAAATTCTAATTACCAGTATTTAGATATATGTAAACTTATTTATAATTATTTTTTTGTTGAGTATTTAAATATATGTAAACTTATTTATAATTATTTTTTTGTTGAGTATTTAGATATATGTAAACTTATTTATAATTATTTTTTTGTTGCAACTACTTTGTTTCTTTATTAAAAACATTATTTTTTGTAAGCCACCTTTTTATATACTATATTATAAAACCTAGTGTCAACTTACAAATTAAAATTCTTTTCATTTTTTAATTAATTATACTGTATATATGTTTTAATAATTTATTAAATGGGAACTTTGCTAGGAAAATGACCTTCCGAGGCTATGTGGATTTATGAATAAAATTAACATTTTTTTATTTCATAGAGTTCAATAGGTTTTATGAAATAAAAAAAGTTCATCCAAAATTGGATTACTGGCAAATTTAAATTTTATTCATAAAATCCACATAGGAATGGAATTCCAAATGTAGCCCAAGTTGATATGAAATTTAAAAGCAACTTTAAATTTGATACTGTAATAATCGATAAATTTAATAACGACTTAAGTTGATTTTAAAATTCAATGCTGCAATAATGTTTATCGTGCTTTTCAAATTACGTGAGAATCTGGGAATCTGAGAATTCAAAACTTTTTAAATTTACAAATCTTTTTTGCAAGTAAATTTAAATTTCTTGACTATAAACAAATCTTCTTTCCTGATCCTGCACCTAGTAGTACACAGGAACTGATTATTGGTGCAGCTAAATAGCGATGGGTAAAAAAAAAAAACAGATAAAACACCCCTGAAATTGCATTAAATAGTATAGGAATTCTGTTTTTCAATCTCTTATTTTATTTATTTTTTAAATTATTTTTTTATTTTCAATTTTATTTGAAATTATAAGAATTCAAATTACAATAAATCACAAATACATGAATTATTATACATTTCAAATTGCTGTGACCACACATAACGTAAAAATCTGCAAAACTTCTTAAATTTACTATTGATTTTACGAATTGCTACTTAAAATAAAATGCTAAATTTTTCGATAGTGTAACATTCATTAAT